GAAGGAAATAGAACCCCCCCCCACACAAACGGGGGGGGGTACGAAATACAAACAGCTATTGATGTAATGATAGTGAAAGTATGAACATAATTATTTTTCCATTTCAATTACTTTTATTGAAGCTTAAACGTATGTAAAGATAAGAAAATTTATTATACTGAGCATGGCAGTGTGTACTTTTAATGCCATCACTTAAGAGGCAGAGGCAGGTAAATCTTTATAAGTTCTAGGACAGCCTGACCTACATAACAAGTTCCCAGACAATTAAGGCTACATTGTGAGACCTTGTCTCAAAAAAGCAAAATAGGTTTTATACAATCCAATAAAAGTGTATCAATGATTTTGATTTATTGTAAATAATTTCTTTAAATTGTTAAGAAAAATAAACAACCCAATATAATGAAGGACTAAATTAATGTATAAGTAACAATGCAAAATAAATCTGAATAGGGTATTAAGATATACACTGAACTAGAAAACTTCTGTTTGTTTTGTATGTATGGATGAGTCTTTGCTTGTATATTTTCTTGTGGCCACGGGAGCCACAAAAAATTACATCAGGCTCAATGTGTTTGTTTCTGGCCAGTCTTATATGTATGTGTTTACTTTGTTCCCTGTGTTTTGGTAATAGCTCAGTTAATACTGTTGAAACTAGCTGTCTGGGCTCAGAATTTTCCTCTGGGATTTCTGGCCAGTGAATCTGATGTGATGAGCTTCAAATGTCATTTGGATATAAATAAAATTAAAGTTATTTTACGCTGTTCTACCCTATTAAAATAGCTAAGAGAGCTAGGTATAGTTAAAATATGTAACAAAAAGTTAACTTGAAACTTATCCCATAAAACCTCACACACTCACAGTGGGAGACTTCAACGCCCCACTCTCACCATTAGACAGGGCCAGCATTCAGAAACTTAACAAAGAAACAAAAGAACTAATACAAGATATGTCCCAATTGGGTTTAACAGACATCTATCTATAGAACATTCCAACCAAATACAAAAGAATATACCTTCTCTGCCCTACATAGAACCATCTCTAAAATCGATCACATAGTAGGTGACATAACAAAACTCAACAGACACACACACAAAAAAATTCTAACAGTCCCCTGTATCTTATCAGACCACCATGCTTTAAAGTTGGAATTCAACAACAATACAAAGCGCAGAAACCCTACAAACCCATGGAAACTGAACAATACTCAATTGCACCATACCTGGGTCAAAGAAGAAATAGAAAGAAATTAAGGACTTTCTAGAATTCAACGAGAATGAGGACACAACATACCCGAACTTATGAGACACCTTGAAAGCAGTGTTACAAAGGAAGTTCATTGCACTAAGTGCCCACATGAAGAAAACAGGATAGTCACATTAGAGAATTAACAGCACAAGTGAAAGCCTTAAAACAAGGAGGAGGAGGAGTAGACGCCAGAAAATAATCAATTTGAGGGCTGAAATCAATAAAGTAGAAACCAGGAAAACAATACAAAAAAAATCAATGCAACAAAGAGTTGGTTTTTTGATAAAATCAACAAGATAGACAAACCTTTATCTAAACTAACCAAAAAAACAGAGAGAGAACATGCAAATCAGAAAGAAAAAGGGGGACATAACAATGGACACTGAGGAAATCCAGACAATTTTCAGGGAAATGGTTTACGCTATGTAAAGAAGCTTTGGACGCCGGTCCCCCTCCTATGCTGTGGTTACACTGGGAGGTTCAGAGTTTTAGCATTGATGAATGGAGATCTGTTAACCTGATGGGGCATTGGTTATTTACTATTCAGTCACAAGCTCAAGATTTTAAGTTTCCTTTGGTTGTGTTAGGCTTACAGGCGCGTTTCCTTGTGCTAAAATCGGGCTCTCCAGACATAGAAAAAAATGTTCATGCCTTTTAACCCAAAGCCATAGCCTTTGCTATGACACCAAGGTATAAATCTGTTCCAGCTGTTTTAAGAACACCTGCATCTTCCTGGGAAAGAGTGCTGCTACTACATCGATAAATCTGGCCTGGCAGAAACTAATATTGAGTGGAGTCACTCCACAAATTGTCTGAAGAATTTCATCCAAACAACCATGGCATCTCTGTTCCATTCTGTCTGGCAGTCTTCACTCTTCCAATGGCTAGTCCTGTTCATAGGGCTGGTGGTAATAAATCTATTTTTTCCCCTAGCAATGTGCCTTCTCTGCTTCTTCAAAGAACAGATCATTGGCATCTCCAGGATGGCAGTTAACCACATACTTCTTCACCCAACTCCCCATCCCTACGTCATCCCATGCCAACAGGAAGTAGTCATATTTGAACCAGTGTCCCTATACCAAAGAAAGTCAGGATGTTTGGCTGGAACAGCTGGTCCCTGAAGGGGGCCCATTCCTGTCTCTCCAAACCCCACCCTCTCAGAAACTCAATCCCCAACTAAAGCATTATAACTGAGCACAAACCCAGTTTGTGGGTACATGTCACCATGCCTGTGCCTACAGGGTATTTATGCCCTCTCCTTTAGACTGGCCTTGCAATTTTCTCCTGGCCCCTCCCCCACCCCATCTCTGAGGGTTGGAGGACTCACCCCAGAGTGGCTTTGCTCAGAATACACCTGCTCTTTTCCTTTTTAATCCAGCTAAATCTGGTTTATGGCATTAGCAGAGAAGCCTATTATATGGCTACAGAAAAACCAATTACACAGTACACATATTTGTTCAGAGCCTTTGACTTCTGACTGAAGGGTAGTAATTGGTGAGGACAACTCATAGTCCAGCACTCCAGCAACTGTTCACTGAAACTGGCAAGTACATAGCTGGATGGTTGGAATCTAAGGGTAAAAGTTCTACATCCATCTGACGGGGACCTCCCGACCAGGAACTGCTTGCTCTTTGTTCACAGTGAGTGTGTGTCGGGGGGGGGGGAAGGGTGGTATTCCTCTTCTCTTGGCTGTGGATGTGCTTTCTCTTCTCTATTCTTTCCTAGGTGAAAATTCCCTCACTCTCTGCAGAGGATTATTTCTTCCTGTTTTTTATTGACATCTCTCTAATGATCCTGTTGGATTCTCATTTTTCCATGGGAACTTCATTGTGCCTGGAACCCATTGCTCAATCCCCATTTATCACATCGTCACCAACTCTCTTTGTTGTTAGCAAGATTCAGCTCAGAAATTTTGAAGGCCCTGAGAAACCTATGACTGCACTCAGCAGTCTCTTATTTCCACTTCTACTATTTCTGCCTCTCATTTCTGGAGTCCTCTTCAACTTCTTAGATGCCTTTTCTATACCTACCCACCTCCCTTCCTCCCTCCTTCACTCACTCCCTCTCTCCCTTCTTTCCTTCCTCCCTCTCTCTCTTCTTCCTTCCTTTCTTTTTCTTTCTTTCTTCCTTCCTTCCTTCCTTCCTTCCTTCCTTTCGGTATTGAGCTAAAGAGCTCCTTCATCAGTAACACTCCAAGACAGTTGTTAATGTATATGTACATCCCCTTCAAACCTCTGCCATATCTATTTCTACTATCTCAGATTTCTCTAACACTTCAGTCACTTGAATTTGAGCCCCCGTCCTTCATCACAGGTGTGAGTTGAACACAGCTATCTCTATAGTTAACAAACTGAGGCTAAAGAAACCACTACCTGTAATTAAGAATAGAAACTATTATGGTTGGTTTTAATGTCAACTTGTCATAAATCAGAATATGTGAGCAGAGAGCCTCCCCTGAGTAAGTGTCCTGCCTTGGTTGATGTGGGAAGACCCTCCCCAGCTGTGGCGCCTTCTGATAGTAGTCCAGATAAAAGGGCACAGCAGAAGGAAGATCGCCCCTCCATTTGTTCACTCGTCCTTCCTCTTACCTTGTCCTGTTGCTGCAGCATTTCCAAGCATTTGTTTTAGACTAGGGAACAGCAGATTTCCAAGGAACGTCCAGGCTTCTACTACTACCAGATTGGGACTGGTGAAGCATCCAGTCTTATGTTTGAACGAATAGTTGTCATCCCACACCCCATGCCTAGAGAGACAGCTACTGTGGCATGACAATGGCTGCTCAGGTACTCATCCTCGAGGATGTAGTAACTACTATGTTCTCAGCTCTTAGGTGTGATTCTGTTGTTGTTATTATTTTTAAAATGAGTTAATAAATTCACATACATTTAATTCACTAGGAGGGACCTTGAAGACATTTAAATATGCTTTAGATTTTTTCCCCAGTCATTAGCTTAAAATTTAGTTCTCAGTATCAATAACATTGTATGTAAGACCAAAAGAAAATCGTTAAGTGCATTATCCAAAAATGCTGGTAAAAATAGTGATAACAATCCATTGTACTTAAGTATTAAATTGTCAAACAAAAAAATAATCAACAAAAAGTTTAGACCTTGTTAGTAGGAAAGTACATCTTCTTCCTTCTTTTCTGGTTCTTGTCAATGGATGGTTACACCCCCCCCCCCACACACACACACCTTCTTGAATCAGCAAAAGTTGAAGATTTATTGTGTTAACAGGAAGATATTTCTTGATTCCAGAAAACATTTTTTAAATTTTTATGTCCATTGCTGTTTTGCCTGCATTAATGTCTGTATTAGGGTGTTGGATCACATGGACTGGAGTTATAGATAGTTGTGAGCTGCCGTGTATGTGCTTGGAACTGAACCCAAGTCCTCTGGAAGAACAGCCTGTGCTTTTAATCACTGAACCATTTCTCCAGAGTTCTTTTTTTAATTTTATATAATTTTAATTTAAATTAGAAACAAGCTTGTTTTACATATCAATCCCAGTTTCTGCACCCTCCCATCCTCCCCTGTCCCCCCACCAACCCCCATCCCATCCCCTTTAAGCTCCCCAGGGAGGGTGAGGCCCCCCCCCATGGGGAGTCTTCAAAGTTTCTCCAGAGTTCTTGATCCAAATTTTGAATAAAAAATGTCCACTACAGAGAAATCTCTGCAGAGATTTTTCTACATCAGAAAGCACCCTGTTTTATGTTTTTATTGCATAGTACCAATGATAACAGGAACCCAAACTAATTCAATTTTGAAATTTGAAGTAATTTATTAACCTCATTGCAACTTCCCAAGCATAGTTTATTTATTTTGCTTCTTAATGAAGTTTGCCATTCAATGATTAAGATACAAAAACATATCTCTGTTGATGTAAAAATATGCCTTCTGCTTAATGGACTTTTATGTTTATTTTATACGAACATTAGAATTCTATTCTTCATTTATATCCCAGATAAACTTCAAGGGAAATTTTTTCATGTTGCTCTCGAATATCATGTCAAATCTTTCATTCTGCTCCACAGTCAAGTGACGTTTCCAGTCTCCGATGGTGCCTAATGAGAGAAGTATGGAGACAGCACTTAGCAAGTGTATGAAGATGGCAAAGCAGGGTCACGCTAAGCGACTTCTGTATCTTCTCCAGCCCATTGAAAGTAAGCGTGAGTGCTCTGTGGAGTTTGTTACCTCGCCTTTCCTTATAGGAGAATGAGCAGTGAAGGAAACCTACACAATAATACAATAAATGCAGCTCACTATACCATGTGTTAACCGACCAACCATAACCAATCGTTAGGAAGAAACAAAAACCTTAACACATATAAATACGTGAAATGTTTTGAAGTGTAATTTACTATATGTCAAGCATCATACAAACCACTAATATCAATTGATAAAATGTAACATATATCCCAACATTGTTGTTTCATATGCTTTGTTTCAATGTTTCAGGCTTCTATTTGATTCCATTGATTTGTGTGTCTACTTTATGTCAGTACCATACTGTTTTTATTATTATCGCTCTATACTGTATTTTGAAATCTGGAATGGAAATCCCTACAATATTATTCTTTCAGGCCATGATGGCTTTCGATATTCAGGGTATTTACTGGTTACATATGAATTTTAGAATGTTCTTTGTTATATTTCTGGGAAGTATGTTATGGATATTTTGATTGCGGTTTCAATGAGTCTGCTTTTAGTAAGATACTCATTCCCTCTATCTATATTAATTCTACCAACCTATAAACACAGGAGGTCTTTCCATTATATAATATCTTCCTCATACTCTACACAGACTTAAACTTTTCATTGCAGAGGTCTTTCGCCTTCTTGGTCAGGTTTATTCTAGGATGTTTTGTTTCCTTCGAAGCTCCTGGAAATGGGATTATGTCCATAATCTCTTTCCCAGCGTATTTGTTGCTGTACAGTAAAGCTACAGGTTTTTGAATTGGTTCTGTAACCTGGAACTCTGATAAAATTGTTGTCTCTACAGCTTTTCTGGTGGGATTTTGGAGTTCTGTTATTTATAATATGTGATATTCAAATAAGGATAATTTGGCTTTTTTTCCTTGTCTGTATCTCTTTTCTTGCCTTATTGCTTTATCTAGTACTCAGATACTTTGATAAAAAGTGCCTACAGTGGACAGCCCTGTCTCATTCCTGGTTTTCATGAGATAGCGTTATGTTTCCCTCACTTTTTATCATATACAGTCTTTATTATGTTAAGGCATGTTCCCTCCCATCTGAGTCTGTCTAGGGCTTTTATTGTGAAAATATGCTAGTTTCTGTCAAAAGGCTTTTCTGCATCTATTGAGATAATCATGTGATTATTGTCTCTAAGTACATTTACATGCTTTATTCCATTTATGGATTCCATATGGATTCATATGGTGAATCAGTTCCACATTCCTGGGATAAAGCTAACTATGAGTAAGGTCGTGGATTTTATTGATTTATGTTTTTCTTTTTGGGTTCTTGGACACAGGGTTTCTCTGTGAAGCTCTGACTGTCCTGGAACTTGCTTTGTAGAGCAGACTAGCCTTGCTCTCAAAGACTGGCCTCCCTGTACCTCCAGAGCACTGGGAGTAGAGGCAATTGACATCATGCCCCAGAAAGGCCATGGTTTTGAGAAAAGAACTTACTACCATCAGTTTAATAGATGGGAATAATTCCTACCTGTATTCTAAAACATATTGCACACCACAGATAAGTGTAGCTCTTACCCTTCACTAAAGACATTTCTCTTTATAACAAACAGAAACTAATACAGAAAACCATAACAGTCCATAATGCAGATAGCAATGGCTCCTGTGGAATTCAGCACCAATGAGCACCCCTATACCAGGAGTCCTGTACTTAATACCCAGGGGAAGAGGGGCAGACATTTTTAAGAGTGATATTGTGCCTCCTAGAAATGACTGAGAATTTGTACTGATGATATCTCAATAACATTGCTGCCTAAGCAAGACCTGAACAATAATAATATCAATAGGTATGCTAACAAGGAAGGAAGAAATTTTGATGGTCCCACCCTTAGACCAAGAAGAGGCAAATGATGATGCTGAGAGGAGAATTTACCACTCCAAGTTATGAGCCACTAACTGGTTAACCAATGCAAAGTAGTTAGCCCTGAAACCATACACCATACACTCTTACCAAAAGGACTCAAAAGTTGTATTTATATAGTTATGATTGACTTATATAACGATAAGGATCAAAGTAAGCCCATCAGTTTAAGAGGGAGTGAGGGGAGCACATGAGAAAGGCTGGAGGGAGGAGGCACACAGGTCACAATACCAGCATAAGGTTGTCTGTGCCTGCGTTCCCACCACCATGGAGGCAGAGGCAGGACCAGGGATTGGAGGTAATCCTCAGTTACACATAGCAAGTTTAAAACCAGCCAGAGTCACACAAATGAGACTATGTCTCAAAAATGAAAATAAAATCTGAATTGTTGATGCATAACTCAATTTCGGAATATAGGGTAAGACACAACTGTAATTGCTGTGAAGAAGGAAAGTGGTACAAGAGAAATGAGCAATTAAGCCTCCTGTATTTCAGATATGCTGTATGTTATTATTTTTTATAATATTCTGAAAAAATAAACAGAAGTAAGATTAAAATTCTTCTGGAATGAACCAAGAGAGTTGCCTCAAGTCTATTTCCAGCATTTGCAAGCAAGAGGCATGAGGAAATCAAGTTCTAGCCCAGCCTGAGCTATACAGTATATGGGATGCCAGCCTGAGCCAAGTAGCATGGCTTTCTTTCAAAATAGAATTTAGAATAGTCTCTTCTAAAATATCCATTGCCTAGGTCAAGACTATTGTTGAGTTGAGCCACATGAGCTATAAGGAAGGAAAGCCACACTTATTAAATAAGTAAAACTATTGTGTTTTTCTTTTTATTAAAATACTATTAAATTTTCTGAGAAACTGTTTTAGTTCTCTGTCCATTAAGATTTTTTATATTCTCTAGGTTCCCAGTGTCTTTTCACCCCAAGAAACACATTGGAAGCCCCGTCCTAGTGCTCCAAGGGAAGAGATTTGAGGAAGTCTCAGTACTTCGATTACTACAAACCAGTGATTCCCACCTTTGCGCAGAAAATATCCATTGTTTCTTGTCCCAATTTCATGTCTTATAACATTATCATAATTTGCTCGTGGGTCACGTTTCATGTTCTGAAACGTGGCTTGTCTCACCACAGCATCCATGTCGTCTTCATTCAGTTCTTTCCCCAGAAAACCACAGATTTTAAGCACTGAGCTTCTAAGGTCCTGAAAAAGTCATGGGTTGAAATATTATTGATTTTATGATGAAGGTGTGAGTTCCAGCCATCCATGTGACATGAACACATAGGATTCCTTCTTGGAATGTAAAGATGGCTCAACAAAAACCAAAGAGAAAATAATTAGTATGATCATTTCAATTGATACAGGAAAACCCTTTCAGTAAAATGTCACACAGCAGTAGAAAGTACTTCAAAGACAGAGGGCTACGTGTAAACAACTACACATAGAACCATACTGAACAGAAAAACACATAAAGATTTTCAGGTGCTGTTAGGAATCACTGAAACTTTCCTACGTCTCTTTACCCCAACCCTGGAAATAAAGACTGGAGCAGTTGGCCAATAAAAGGAAATAATAAATAAAAGGAAAAGAGGATCCACTAAATTAGAAGCATACTAAGTAGATTGTGTGGTTTTCAGTGCAGAAAATGCTAACAAAAAACAACGACATTTTACTATGGTATAGTGTATAAAATCAAAGCCACACAAATACCAGGTGAATTTCTGGACATTAATAAGGAAACTGCAGCAATAACAACAAAAATCTTAGCATTAAAGGTAATAAAGGCTTTGTATTAAAGTCAATAAAACCTGTTGAAAGTATCCAGCCATTACTGGAAGAATTACAAGATAACAGTTAGCAGTTTAATATATAAGAATTGCAAAACAGTAATTTTAAGATAATACCAAAAACAAGCTGCAGCATTCAAAGGATTTCTTAAGATTTCAATTTTAAAAAATAGAAAAACTCATTGCAAAATTTATTTGAAAGGATGCCGAATGGGTAAATAACCTTGAAAGGAGAGATTAAGTCTGAGTCTGCAGTATCCATACTTTCCAGATTTCAAAAGTTAGTAAAAAAAAAAAAAAAAAAAATCATGGAACCCAAAATGCTATAGTAATTCTATACATTCTATAAAGCATGCGATACAAATTCTTTTTCTGGAACTCCATGAATCATTTTAATGAACTGTCACAATTTGTATAAAAGGCTCTGCATTAAATTACTGTTATTTGTAAGTTGAGGAGAGGGCGGAGGGATCATAGGAACAAGTGAGGTGAAGATCCCAGACAGTAGGAGCTCATGGACTCTGGACTGATAGCTGGGGAGCCTGCATGGGACTGAACTAGGCTCTCTGAATGTGGCTGGATCTTTTTCTTGGGGTGTGGGGACTGCCAGTGGCACCAGGACCTGTCACAGGAGCAAGAATATCTATGATAGGATACCTTGCTAAGCCATGATATGGGGGAGCGGTAAGGGGGTAGAGGCTTGGTCCTTACTCAACTTGGTGTGCCAGACTTTGTTGACTCCCCAAGGGAGACCTTACCCACTCTGAGGAGGGGGAATGGGATGGGGGAAGGGGATGGAGGGGGAACTGGGATTGGTATGTAAAATGAAAAAAAAAATTAAGTAACAAGTAAAGAAAAGAGAAAACAAACAAATAAACAAAACAATCAATGTAGTTACCTCAGCCAGGTCACAGGAGAGGAAAGTCCTGTTATACATAAGGAAGGTTTACCTGTCAATGTACCAGGGCATTTTTGGGGGTTTTATTTTCAATAAGCATTTATTTTAAAAGCACTTATGAAAACTCAAAAAATATTTGATTAAAAATATACTTAGTAAAATTTTAAATATGAAATCATGACTTCCACTTCTATAAAACAAACACCAATGGACAAAAAAAAAATCAGATAGACCCTGAGAAAATATTAGTGGCTGATTTCAATTCCTAATTTTCAATCCTAGATAGGCCATCCAAATTAAAAATCAACATAGAAAAGTCAGTTAACTTACATCATAGATTAAAAAGATATAACTATTTACAGGACATTCTATCTGTATTTGTCTGGTTTCTATTGTGACAGAACACTGAGCAAAACAATGTGGGATGACAGGGAGTTGTTTCACCTTGGAAGTGACAGTCCATCGTCAAGAGAAGGCAGGATGCGAAGCAGAGCTAGGGGATGCTCCTTACTGACTTGTTCCTCATGCCATGCTCACCCTGCTGTCTTTTCCTTACCTTTCTTTAATGTGAAAGGAACCCGAGAGGCCCACACAATACACTAGATTAAGTGGAACCCACCTATTCAGAGAAATAGAAATCACGTCTCTCTCCCATGAAGAAGAAAATCAAATGGTCATTCTTGGAAGTTGAACTATGATTCTAAGGAACTGGGAAGAGTCCCGAGAAAAGAAAGTTGAGGGTGTAAACTCCGGATAAGACCAATGCATGTTGTGTTCATAGATGGCAACACCACATCGAGTCTACTAATGCAAATAATTAAATAGGGCTGATAACATCTTTAAAAAATAAGTCTATTCTAGATACATAAGGTTGTCTGTATTGACGTAAGTGGCTACACAAGAAGGAGTCACAGGAGAGGACCACAGTGAGAGGAGAGTCCAGAGGCAGACCAATCAGAAAAGGAGACGCTGAATGTCAGGGACCTCCTTCAACACGAAGCCCATGAAGGGGAAGTAAGTTATGAGGACAACTGGGAGTGTGTGGTCTAAACTCAGAGATGAGGAATAATTTTCAAAACATCTTTCTCATTTTACCTTCTTCATATCTTCATAGCTCAGGAACATAATGTTGAAGTCATGCTTGTGTTCATACCAGCCTCTGATGTGATCAAACCAACAGCTTCCTACAACTGAAGGGAAAATAACTGAGTAACAAAGTCAAGGCACTATTCTTACTGAGCAGAAAACTCCATTCTTACTCTTCTGGTTTAGACTATTCGGAAATAAAAATGAAACCCATACAATCGGATGTCTATATGACTATTTTAAAGGAGTTATTTTTGTGTAACAATTATACAAGGCTAGCACCGACCTACCTATTTAGGGATGTAGCAAGACAGAAATTGAGAAACTCTAGTGTCAAGGCCTGGAGAGACTTCTCAGGGGTTAAAGCACTGGCTGCTCTTGGTGAAGGCCTGAGTGTGTCTCTCTGCACGCACATGGTGGCTCAGAAACTGTAACTTCAGTTCCAGGGAGTCTGATGCCCTCTTCTGACCTCTGCAATCACTGCACACATGTTGTGCACATACATACATCCAGGCAAAACACTCATAAAACAAAATAAATTTATCTAAAGTCTTTCGATAAAGTTCAAGTGTCTGAGTTCAAACACACCCTTAAGGAATGTTCATATTTCTCCTCTCTCTGAAGACATATGCCTTCGTTTCTTGTATCCCATCATTGAACAGCAGTGTCTCCTTGCTACAATGAGACAGAACCTAAATATAATATTAGCAATGTGTGAGATCCCAATTTCACACCCCATAGCCTCTTCCATTAATTTATTTTCCTCAATAGTGGCATGAAGAATTTTAGTTTCCCAAATATGTGCCATTAAGAGCACACATTCACCCTCAGCTTTAGCTGTATATCTCTTCCTATGTCATTAGCTAGAAAGAATGGTTAATATAAGTGTAAATCTCTTATGATCTAGCCAAAGTACTTCCTAAGTAACACAGCACTGCAAGTTGGGAATCCTCAAATGGTCCCGACAAAGGCAGGATAATCATTGTGCATCAGATTACATTGGTTCAAAATTATTATTATTCTTTCTATGCACTCCCCTGCCTCCTCCATCTCTTAGATGTATGTCCCTTATTTTGAAATGGCTTAAAAGTCATCTGTACTTCATTTTTAAAAAGTGAGAAGGAATAAATATAGTTACCTTTGCCATCTAGAAACTTTTCCAGATAATGTTCAATGGTATCTGTAGCTTCTAAGGTAATCAACCAATTTGAAAAATGAAAAAATGAGACCAAAACGTCTTTGGGGTTTCTGTAAATATAAAGAATCTGCAGAAAAAACACAAAGTTGTTTTTAGCAATTCTTGGTCATTCTAGTATGTTCTGAATGTATTAGAATAAGTTCTGAACTTATATAATAGTACTTGTCCAAATAAATTTGTATTTACATCTGTTATTGGTTATGAATACTTCCATTTACATAGCATTTCATACATGTACAAAAACACAGGTCAATGTTACAGAAATCTATTATTTGTAAAGTTGATAAATATGGTAAACTTGTTTTTTCATATGGCTTAATGTTATAGCGACTGATATTCCTTGAGTTTTCTGAGACAGTTTATATATAATCAAGGTAACACTTGCAATAAGTGGAAAATATAACAACAGACTCATGTTGGTGCAAGCATTAACAGTACACACATGTAACTTAAAAAGAAATTTCTTTCTATTCTTATGAATAATAACTATCAAGTTTATTAAGACTATTGGGCCAAAACAAATATATTTCTAGTCTTGAAACAAGGAAATATTTTTAAATAAGTTATTGCTACTTTATTAGGTTTTTGTTTGGTTTTTGAGAAAGAAATCAAAGTTGGGTGTGTAAGGATGGGGAAGAGGGTCTGGAAGGGCATGGGGGAGAAGAATATGTTCAAAATACATTTCAATTTAAAATTGTTTTAAATAATACAATAAAATAAAAATAAGTAAATAACGAATTTATATTTTAAAAAGTCAGTATGTTTGATTATACTAAAATTAAGAATGTTACTAATCAAATAAACCACAAAGTCCCAAAACATGAGAAAGGCCACAAGTATAAGAACTCTATGCAGGAGTGGCAGAATTCATATCACTAAGAAAATTAGGCTAAAATTATAACAATGAAAAGCTGGACCAATGGTAGAATCTTTTCACAGAATTGTAATTGGTCACGGTCAATAAATATCAAATATGGTTAATCTCATTATTGCATATGCACATGCAAATTAAGACCATCGCGAGGGGCCATTCAGTGCCACACTGGCAAACACTTAAGTCCGATGTGTCGAGTCACGAGAGGAGAAATAAGAACTGGTCCTGTGCTCGTTTCAGCAGTAACTGATTATCCAGTTTCTTCAGGAATAGTGTTGACTACCCTGGTATTTGTGACTCTTTAGTTCTAGTTACAGGTGAGGCTTCTAGGGAAGCTGGTGTAAGAGCCCAGGAGACATACTTGGGAATGTTCAGAGATGTGTACCATCATCACACAAAGACTAAAACAGTTTCATCATTCAATATTTAATTATTTTATCTGTTCAAAAAGCTCTTTGACATACTTTAGCCTTTTTCTTCTTGAGACCTTTTGGTACTAAGTAATACGGAAGATGAGAAGTGAAGATGCGAGGTGATGGCATTTTGACAAAGTCTAAATTATGAATATTATACTCAAAGAATGGTGCTCTGTTTATTGTTTCAATGTTTTCAGTACTGTTTCGGTGGCCTTCAAAATAAATCAAGCTGAGGATCTGCTGAGTCCAGACAGTACCTGTAAAAATACACAGCAATTCTGTTTTCAATCCTGAGGTAGGTTTAAGTAGTAAATACCTGAGGTAATTTCATCCATCTTCAAGCCATTGATGCTTTTTTAACATTCTATGTGTGCTAACAAGCATATGTAATTTTTGTTTGATCCCTATCTATATTTAGCAATAACATTAGAAAAGGTAAAATAAGGGCTCTAAGTTTCTTTTTTAATTGTATCATCATTTTGTTCTGATTTCTTGATAGTGATTATTCAAATTATTCCTATAGCTTCCCTGTAGTCTGTGTTCCATGAAAAGTCTTCTTGTAGTATTTCAAGATTCTAGCTGAGAAATAATACTTGTAGACTAATGGGTACACTCATAAAACCACACACATACACACTGTTATAAAATCACATCAGGTTGAACAGCATTAACTTCTAGCTTTTTTTCTGTTTGGAGCCTTCTTGATCTTCATAATATTGTTTCTAGGGTATTGGAAACCCTTTTCCTGTATGCTACAGGAAGTACTAATTCTTTCTGAGATTTCTTAGAAGTTTGTTAATACAATTTTAGAAAACTTAACAAAATTGGAGTGCATTCGGTTCCTTCCTTCCCATGCTCCTCATGTCCAACTCTGTGTCTCCATGTTCCCATGAAGGGATTATAAATACATTGTATAGCAAGAAGAAGTCAGTGTTCCCAGTTTGCTTACTGACTCTTAGCCTAGTAACCATTCAAGTAGGATAACTACAATGAAACTATTTGGGGAACACACATAAACACCCAACCCTATTTCCATTTCAAATGGATCTCTCGGTATGGTCAAAATGTAGTGGTATTAATGTCTGGCCTGATTTATTAATGATGATTCAAATAATTTGCCAGTGTAAATTTTGACTTGAACATTCACTTTAATTATTCTGAGGATGAGATTATGCTGAATTTCATAAAAAAAAAAAAAGAATCCCTGAAATTTTGAAATAACCATTCTTCGGAAGATGTCACTGACTCCAAGGGTGTAACAATTAAAGTATTTGATATCCTGCATGGTCCTTCACAATCCATAATCATTGTTCTAGCCTTCACCCACAACCTCTAGGAGCAGTTGGCAATTCTCTAGGGAATACCGGGGTTTTAAGGCACCAAACCAAGGGTGTGATAGGATGAAGATGTTTGGTTTACACTTTTCTCTTATTGCCAAGATGAGGATATGTTGGCAGTTGGCAGTATGGACCACATCCAGTATACAGCTGAGGAATTTAAATATACATCTACAAACAAATTGGTCCATCAAAGGAAGAATTTCCTAAAATATTCCAGTAAGGCCTTGGCGTGGTTATGCACTGGGAAAACAAAGTTATCTCCAAATAACTATTTACACACACACACACACACACACACACACACACACACACACACACTCAGAGAGAGAGAGAGAGACAGAGAGAGAGAGAGAGAGAACAAAACAACATCTAAAAGGAGCTTTCAGAGCACTGTGCAGGTGAAGATTGTTGGGTAACAACCCTTTAAAGGAAAGCCGTGCAAACCAGAAGTGCATGCTGTTAACTACCTTGAGTGTAAAACAAAACAAAACCCAAAACCTCTGTTTCTGACCAGAGTCTCTTTAACAATACACGAATGTTTATAAAAATGCAGCAGTTTAACTTGTTAGTGTGCACAAAGACAAGGTATTTTCCATACCTTGTAAGGCCTTGAGTCTAGGATCTACAGGAAAGCGAGGTGGTTATTTTCTGAGTCTTGACACTTGATGATGCATACGAACATTGCAGAAGCAGAGAGCAAAGCAGTACTTGAAGTGACAATGAGATCAATTTTAAAATATTTTTATCTTGGCATGCTTGTACATGTGCCTGTGTAATTGTGGTGTCTGTCTAGTGAATGTGCATGAGATATACATGTGTATGTGATGGGCAAATGTGTGAGAAAGATATGAACATGTTGATATGCGAGTGTGAACACATGCATGCGTAGTGGCCAGAATACAGTTGCCGTCAACCTTGGCTGCGATATGTTCATTTTCTGAGTATGTGGTTCAGCTGGATCATGGTCAACTGGGGATTCTCCTGTCTCTGTCTCCCACCTCACCGTAGGAAGGTCAAGATTACAGACACACATTACCACATCTGGCCTACAAGTGTTCGATTGATCCCCACTCAGGTCCTCAAGCTTGCAAGGCCAAGACATACACTTTGCACACTGACCCATCACCTTAGCCTGGAAAAGATTTTCTGGCCAAACCACGTACAATCCCATTGTCTGTAGTGTTTAGTAACAGTCACATAGGAATTAACTTTTAAAGGGGCATGTGACATTTTAAGAAGGACAGATTTATCTCTTAAAGTTTATCAACCACAGTACAAGCACATATCAAGACCTCCGAGGGCTGACCTGGTGACTCAGAAGTCACCATTGACATGGGATTTTCCAGTTCCTAAAAGGCCACAACTGCTAGAGCACTGCATCAATGCACTTCACACACACTGTTGAGTACAAGAGCTTCTTAAACTGTAGTAAGTAGACCTCAGTTTCTGTTGAATACTTTTAAAGTAAGTGATATATGGTAGAAATCTTCTTAAATGATGAGGCATTTGTATATTTGCAATTTAGGAGAAATTATTTCAGACTATGTCATCCCCATCCAACAGACCAAATAGGTAAGCACGAAGGAATCGTCTGCACCTGGCTCTATGGTGCACATCTCATTATCATAGCATTGCTACTTCCCACCAGAGTGCACACTGAATTCTCTGATGGTGGCCTTCTCTCCTACAAATTGGGGTTTCGTTTAGATTTTATCTGATCATAAATTGTTATGTAAATGTAGGGTTGCTGCTGCTGGTGAATGGAGAGGGGCCATATTTGTACATATCATACTAAACCAAAGGAGACATCAAGAAAGATCACATGGTCCACTCCTGGCACTTACCAGATTTTGGGTACGTGATTATGAAGACATCGTCATCTCTAATTTCAAAGTCTTCCATTGTTTCTAAATGCTTAATGTCCACAATACTTTTCTCAAAATTATATCCTTTAAATTTAAGTAAGTATTCATTTGTGTTGTCCATAATTATTTACCTAGAAGTAAACACATAGAATACATTTTGTGTGTCAAGTTTTGTACAATGCTGAGTAATAATTACTGGGAGGTCAATATGTGCCAAGAACCATTTAAATATTTTATGTATGTAAATATTTACTGTGGAAAAAATTACATTGGTTATGTTACCTAAATTTCATAATATTTCAATTATGTTTTATTTTTTAAATCACATCATTAAATATGAGGAAGAGTAAAGAATTAAGTATATTTTCCTATAATTAAGTGTATGAAGGATTATAACAAATTTAAACATACAGATGAGAAAATAGGGCTACATATATGTCAAGCAAATTATTCAAGGATACTCAGCTAGCCACCCTCAGTGGACTGGACACAGAGTACATGCAGATAATCTAGAATATTTAGTACTTTTTTATCTGCAAATTTTCATTCTTACAAAAATAAGAAACTCTCCAAAGTGTGCTTTCATATTTAATGTAGGGTTTGAATAACCTACTCTGTCAGAGTGAGGCTTCTGTAACTCGTCGATTATGTGGCTCTTGAAATGGGTAACATTAGTACTTGTGCTCTGAAAGTAACTTACAGCTACATTAACTTATTGTTAGTTCTAGTAATATATAGTTGCAAGATCTCTTATGAAACTTTTCATTATTTTAATTTCTAACTAAAGAATCTAACATCAGAACTGTAATTTAAGTAATAAATAAAAATTATAAATCACACAATCTCAAGACAAACCTGATCTTGTCCAAGTTTGATGAAGCCAAATATCTCTAGTAGGTCTGCCAGAGAACATTCTACTGGAAGGTTAAAATGACCAGAGAATGCCCACAGTATCTGATGTGGTATCTTAGCACTAGTATACTTCCCTTCAATTGTTTATTGTTAAAAATTCTGTCACCAAGAAATTAACTTTGATGAAATCAGACAATATAACATTAGCTAAATTGCATGTCAATAATCAACACTTAATTTGATGTATGGGAGATTTGAGTGGGACAAATACTTGCTATACAGTCGAGGCTGGCCCAGAATGTAGACCAGGTTAGCCTCAATGTTCATGGATGATATTGCCTGTTTCGGGAAAACACTTATTTGCAACATGCCTTACTGATTTCTTTACAGATATCTATCAGGTAGGCAATCACATAATTAGAAATACCTGGGTGAACCTTTGTGAATTATATACTACATACACAAAAAATGATGTCTAATTGAGACCCTTGTACCTTGCAAGTTCCGTAACTGACAACTCAAGTCCAAACGTCCTGACCACAGAGTGTTGGAAATAAAAAGGTTGGGCTGAAGGAATACACACACAGAAATTTCAGGGCAGGTAGATAACACTGATATTGAAAAAAGAAAACCTTAAATATATTTTTGGAGTGTGCTGAAGAAAATACACAGCGCATAACACTGACTAGTGGAGCGTCCATTCTTAGGACTACTGCTGAAGTGCAGAGGAAACAGAAGTGAGTGACTCTCACATCTCACCGCATCAACAATGCCTTCCATACACTCTCTAGACAGTCACCATGTATTCCAACCCCGCCTTCCTGGACACAGTGTCTGAACGCCTCTGTAAGCACACTCAATGAAATTTTCACTTGTTTATTGTGTTCTGTCACGCACCTGGGCTGTCTTTTACAAGAAAGAGAAGGAACAGAGGAGGCAGGGGCAGAGGAGAAGCGGGGGGAGAGCTTCATTCTCTAAAGCACAGAAAGGAAGAGGGAATAAAGAAGGTTCATTATGGAAAAGGACATCAGAGGATTTTAGTGACAGTGGGGAAAAAATGATTATATAAGGAGAAAGCAGATGTGTGTCCCCTTCATATTTTCACGTTGAATCTCAAGAAAAGGAGGAAAGCAAAATTAATAAGAAATAACTACTGAGACAAGGTTTCTGCATGTAGCCCCGGCTAGCTTGGAGCTTACCATAGATGAAGCTCATCTCCAACTCACAAACATCTACCTCCTTCTGCCTCCAGAGTGCTGGGAAGTCATGCACCACCATACTCTGACCATAAAAAGATAAGTATATAGGGCTGGAGAGATGGCTGAGCCATCCAAACATATATATTGCAAAAGACAAGGAAAACATTGGTAGTGTCTAAATCTACTCTTTTCTACTCACAGTTTGCAGAGCAATAGATGAAGCAAAACCAGTTCTGATGGAATGTTAAGAAAGCAGAGACCGATGGCTGCTGAGGTATAAATATTCCCTGTCAAGTTTTTCTTGACCAATAGAAGTGTTCTAGGAAAAGTAAACTGAACTCAGCAGGAATATTAAGTAAGCTTTGCTGGCACTAGGAAAGTCTTATCAGATGATTTTAGGCACATGAAAGAAGCTAAACATTAAGAGAGTATAGTTAACCTTGACAGAGATCTGACAGATAAATTTCACATCTACTTAATTATGAGGATTATTAGGCAAATTGCAAGTTATATTTGACACTTACAGCCACAACTTGCTTAGATAAGTTCTGGAACACGATGGTAACCAAATCCTTTTAAGAATATCTGCATGACTAGTTTCGATTTTTCAGGGCTTTATTACTCTTTATCCCACTATTTCCTGGTTAGAGATTTTTGTTTGTTGTTGTTGTTTCTTCTTTTGGCCAGCTTGACACAATCTATGCTATCTGGGAGTAGGGAACCTCAGTTGAGGCCTCATCAAATCTGCCTGCAGGGGAGTCTGTGTACCTGAGCCTACTGTGGCTGATGCCATCCCTGGATGGCTTGTGCTGCATTGTTCAAAACAGCACACTAAGCAAGCCACACAGAGTAAGGCAGTCTGCAGCAATCCTCCACAGCCTGTGCTTCCAGTCCTGGCTTGATTTCTTTCCCAGACTTCCCTTCATAATGGGGTATAAGCTGTACAATAAAATAAACTCTCTCCTGTCCAGATTGCTTTTGGTCATGATTTTTATCACAGCAACATAGAGAAAACTGAGTCATCATCTGTGCTGACTAGTTTTATGTCAACTTGACACAAGCTAGAGTTATCTGAAAGGATGGGACCTCAATTGATAAAATCCCTCCAAAAGACCAGGCTATAAAGCATTTTCTTATTTAGTGGTTTATGGGGAGTCCAATATGAGTTGTGTCATCTCTGGGCTGGTGGTCCTATGTTCTGTAAGAAAGCAGGCTAAGCAAGCCATGGAGAGCAAGCTAGTTAGCAGCTCTCTTCCATGGTCTCTGCATCAAATCCTGCCTCCATGTCCTACCCTGTTTGAGTTCTGGTTCTGATTCCTTCAGTGGTGAACAGTGATGTGGCCATCTAAGAAAAACAAACCCTATCCTTCCCAAGTTGCTTTGGTCGTGGCATTTTACCAACAGCAATAGTATTCCTAAGACACCATCCTTCTGTTAATTTCATCTAATCTATTTCCACCAATCCAAAAACAAATCACACTAATGAAGGTTTCATTAGTTTTATAAAATCATTTAAAAAATTAATTTTTCCCAATCCCTTTGAAGAATCATTCTTAGTGATGTTGTTCTAACCTTGTTCTTCTTTTTAAACGTAGGTATTACCTACCTTTGGCTTTCTACAATAATGGGTTTTTGTTCGAAGCTGGTTTTACTGTCTTCTCTCATCTCTTTGTTCATTTTTCAGTCTTCTGTTTCCCACAAGCACCACTGTTAGGTAATGATTCTCAGGTTCCCACAAAACACAGAATTTGACCCCTGGAGAGATTCTTAATCTGTTCATTGTATAAATCTTTCCTGGGAAGAGAACAGAACATAATCTAAGGGTAATTTAAGCTTCTAAACATTGGGCTTGTCCCATTACACATAATGCTGTCAATTTAGGAAATATTTGTAAAATAATCCAGGTTATTAGGGAAGCATAGTACAAAATATGGATATCAATGGAGAAAACTACTTACTAAAATGAACATCTGAGCCAAGACTTTCTGAAATGTCATGGAATGGATGCCTCCAGGGTCTTAGAAGATGTATAGATCACAGGGACATGGAGAGGATGGGAGGGAGGGAGGCAATACACTGGTAACAAAATGCAAACAATCTGTGATAGTCTAGTTGGTAGGCAGTACAACAAATTCCTCCTTTCACTCATGGGACTTTTAGTAAAGTTTGAAAATATAGAGAGATAAATACATTTAGCCCAGTCCATGAGAAATTACTTGCAGTAAATACGAACAACAATAACAAAAAAAAAAAAAAAAACCTGAGATTCATTATTTGTGAAGAATTTCCTCAAATGAGTAAGAAAAATAGCTCCATAAGAAGGAGAGCAAAACTTGTGACTAGATAAACATACAAAATAAATGCTAAAGAGCATTAAGATTTATGCTGATCTTTCTCTTTAATAATCACAGGAATACAAATTAAAAGCACATCATAGACTGAATCTATAAATTTATTGTGCTGAATAGTGCATCAAACACGTGGATGTGGGAGTATCTCTGTGGCAAGCTCTCTGGAAGCTCCTTGGATATATATATATATATATCCAAGAGGATGGCCGAGTTAACAGTCACTGTGCTTTAGTTGCTTGTGGATTCTCCATACCAGTCCCCACAGGTGCAGCATCACTTTACATTCCCATCAGCAGCATGTAAGGGGTGTTCTTCTGACATCCTTATCACACTTGTGCTCATCATCTTCCCTTTATGATGTCCATTCCGACCAGAACCATGCAGAATCCCCATATTGTTTTCAATTGTATTTCCCTCATGATTCAAATATTCAATCGTTTTCAAAAAATTCATGTTTCTTAGCCCTTCGATGGAAGATAGGGAGAAAGAAACAGGCAAGAGAGTGGTGAATAGGTCAATATGTACAATATACTTGACAGAGATTGTTTTTGTAAAATACAGTGGGATGCACAATGAGTATAAAGCAATAAAAATATTTTAAAGTGCTTGATAGCTATTGAAACATCAGATCTCCCATATGGATTATGACTTATCTATACACAGACACTTGGCCCCAATGATAGTGCCAGGGATGGGTTATACATTTTGTGGAGTGGACCATACATCCAATGAGAAAGTGGTTAGTTCTTCCTATAATATTAATGCCACTGTTACACAGGTGGACATGTCTTGCCAGGTCAGTCTTTACAATAGCTTGCAAGGTTTGCATCTGATTAAGATCCATGATTATTTTTTCTCCCCTAATAGCATGCACAGAACGTTCCAACATTATGAAAGCTACCCATTAGGGATGAAGTTTCCAGGTGAGTATCAGCTTGATTTCTTGATGTTTTATCATCAAGTATATGGTATCTTCAGCAATAGAGTCTTACTGTCAAATTCTGGAGGGTAGTGAAGATCATAGTCAATACCCTGTAATGTTTGGTGGTTGCTTATGGAAACTCACTGCTCAAAAACTCCTCCAAACAGGTACCCCTTCCCAGCAATGGGCATTTTGTTAGTCTGTAGTGTCTACTAGGGACATTGTTGCCCCATTATAGGGTAACACCATTTAAACTTTTAAAAATGTGTGTGTATGTGTGTGTCAGGAAGCTTCTACAGTTGTAAGTCTCTATATGAATTTTTAAAAATGTCTTTAGCAGTATTTATTCCTCCCTGTTTTTCCTTTTACCCTGTCCTGATACCTCTCACCCCATTTAACCCTTTCATTTTCTTTATTCCTCTTTACCTCTTTATTCTAAGACATCTCATCTCCCCTCCCTTGGAAATGCCCCCCCCAAGGCACTTAATAATTTCCTGACTTTTACGGGTACTCCAAGAAAAACACACATAACTGAAGATTCAACACTAATATGCACAAATGATAGGAAATACATGATATCTGTCATTCTAGTTCTGAGGTACCTCATCAGAATAACTATTTCTGTCACACCATGGCTGGGGCTAAAAGCCTATGGCTTGACAAGTTAGAGGCCCTAGGGGAGAACCTAGTACTCCATGTTCATTTATTCTACTGAGTGAACACAGTATTAAACCAACGTCTAAAACCTTCTCATTATACAAACAGAGATAAGCGTTGCAGGACATTTGATCACACTGTGAACCAGACATTGCACGATTTGCTGGGGAAAAACCTGCTTCTAGCTTCAGCCCTACAGCACACACCTTTAATCCAAGAGGTTTTTGCTTGAATATTGTAAACATGATTAAATAAAGTTCACCATAGGTCAAGAGATGGAGCAAGTAACCAGTGACAGGAAATAAAAGAAAACAAAAAAACCCATAGAGTATAAAAGAAAGTCAAGAGGATGGAGAGAGATGCACAGGAAGTAGAAGGGAGGGGCATACAGCGGGGGGAGGTTTTGTTTGAGATGGCATAAGAGAAATCTCTCTTCCTGGGACATCAGTGAAGGAGGAAGCAGCTGGGTGCTTTCTCTGCCTCTCTGAGGTTTTCACCGCAGCATTTGTGTTATCAGAAGTTTCCTGCCAGCCTGGTCCCAGAGCTGCATCAGCCCCAAGTAACACACAGAGACTCTGTTAGTGATAAAGCTGTTGGCCAATGGCTATAGTTTCTTATTGGCTAGCTCTGTCTTAATTATTTTTTTTAATGAACAATAAAATGTTTTATTAAAAATGAAAACTAAAGTGTTAAAACAATCATTTGCCTAAAACGATTAACACATTCTTTGTTTTTTTATTTTACTTCATTGTTTTTTTTTTTTAATTTTACATGTTGATCCAGTTCCTTCTCCCTCCCTCCCTTTTACCCTCTAGAACTAGGAGAATTAATTATTAACTCATTTCTATCAAAATCTAAGTGTTCCCACGTGGTCTTGGTTTACCGGGAATGATGGACCTGCATCTCCTTTGCCTAATACATCTCTGCAGAGAAGAGTGTGATTTCCTGTTTGTCTCTGCTTATATTCTGATTCTACCCAGCTTCATCAGTCACTTCCTGCCTGTCTGTACAGATCTCCAGACTTCTATGGTTAGCTGCTGTGCTACGTCACTTACTGCCTGGCCAATCAGTGTTTTATTCATCAACCAATAAAACAAGCATGTATACAGAACATTCCCCATCACATCTAGCTTTCAAGTCTTTACTGAAAAGCAGAACTATAGAGACTTACTTAGTTAAAAACAACAGATACATACACCTCTCAACCCTCACCAGAGGAGCTCCTTTCTGTAGTCGATGGTGATTAACACAGAGA